CTGCTTCTTTTTCTCCAATAATCTTTGACAGTGTGATACAGAAAGCGACCCAGAGGAGCAGGTAGGCAACTATCATTTCTGGGCCTAATTTATGATATGTTCCCAGTTCTTGTTGCCTGCTTTTCTAGAAATGACATAGGGGCAAAGTTGCGAGAAATTCTATTTTATGAAAAGATATTAAGGTTATTTCTTTGTAGGTAAACTGTTTTCCATGGTTTCATTCTGCACAAACCTTTAGTGTGTGAATACTTCAAAGATTATACCTTTGTAATTGGTCAGATTTTTTAAAAAAAAGAAAATGTAGGTTAGCAGAAATACCACACTTTTTGTAGCCTGTTGCAAATGTTACCAAAAAAGGTTTGTGGCTGTCTTTACTGTAAGTTGAATGGTAAACAGTACCATGTATGAAGTACCCCCCCCCCTAAAAATGTGTTTTAGTGGTCTTAGGCTGAATAAGAGAGCAAGACCCTGGAAACAATTATCCATGCATGCATATGTACACACACACTCATATACAACAGTAGTAAAAAATATTTGTCTTCTCTCACCTACCATATTTTTTGGAATATAAGATGCACCTTTTTCCCTAAAAAAAAGAGGCTAAAAATCTGGCTATGTCTTATACATTGAATACAGCATTTTATGCCCCCCAAAACCCCTCCGCCTTCACCAAAATGGCCATGCATAGCCTTTAAGAGCCATGCAGAGTGCTCCTGGGGGCTGGGGAGGGCAGAAATGAGTGAAAAACGGGCTGTCTTTTGCTCACGTTTGCCTCTCAGCCCCCAGGAGCACTCTATAAGCTTCCTAAAGGCTATCCATGCCCTTTTTTTGACATAAAGCGGGCCTGTTTTCGCAAAAAAAGTGTGTTTTTTGCTCATTTTGGGGGGCATCCCCCCAGGACTACTTTACAAGCCTCCTAAAGGCTATTCATGCCCCTTATTTTTGGAAGAAAAAAACGAGCCTGCTTTTGTGCCGTTTTTGGGAGGTTTGCAGAGTGCAAACACTTTTTTTAAAAAAATTCAAAACCTTGGTGCGTCTTATACTCTGGTGCGTTTTATACTCCGAAAAATACAGTAATCCCATTGGGAATAAGCCATTGGGAAAATTGTAAAAAATAAAAAAACAAGGGCTTTAATCAGCACATGGAAGTTAATACCAAGGGAATGCAGATCAGTAGTAGTGTATAGTGCAGGTAGTCCTCAACTTACGACCCAGTTTAGCCTCAAATTTCCCTCACTAAGCGAGACAATGGTTAAGTGAGTTTTGCACCATTTTACGCCCTTTCTTGCCATTGGTGTTGAGGGAATCAATGCTCTTGTGGGTTAGTAACACGGTTGCTAAGTGAATCTGGCTTCCCCATTGATTTTGCTTTTCAGAAGGTCACAAAGGGGGATCATAGGACTCTGGGACACGGCAACTGTCATAAATATATGCCAGTTGCCAAGCATCTAAATAAATGTTGATGATGTGTCCGGATCTGTGATGCTGCAACGATCATAAGTTACTTTTTTTCCAGTGCTGCTGTAATTTTGAATGATCACTAAATGACTGATAGTAAGTCAAGGACTACTTGTAACAGTTCTCCAATGGGTATTGTTCTGGAAGAAATATTGCCATATTATATTCCACTTCTGGTTACCAAGAGATAGATGTCGCTGGTGGCCTGGGTCCAAAACACTTTTTTTTTGTTTTGAAATGCTAAAAAGAGAATTGTGATGAATTAAGAGTAGCTTGACTTGGTTAACAACCATTCCTAGCCCAATTATCTGTCATGGAAAGCAGACAATCCTACATTAAAGATACTCAGGAATCCATCCTTCCTTGTAGTGGGGAAAAATGCTTACCATGTTTCTACTTCCAAAGGAAAAGTACCTGGCTCCTTGAAAAGCTCTTGGGTAGCTAGCTTTTCTGCCGGTGCCAAATAAATTTAGAAATAGGGGATTTTTTAAAAAAGTATTTCTTAAAAAATATTTGTGGAGTATAATGAACCCCCTGTGTTTCTTGTCTTTCTGCAGGCCTCCATTGATGACCTCGAACAGTCATTCACTGTCTCAACCAGCAAAGGTTGGGTGTAGACAAATAGCGGGGTGGGGTGGGGGGTTGTCTGCTTGTGTTTCTGTGCACTAAAGAAAACATTGTTGCATTTCTTAGTGTGACTTGAATGAGCACGATTTTTGGTTCTGTGGGGACATTGGTGCGCTGTAGTTCTGTTTTGCCTATAACCAAGTACTTGGTCCATCTGATCTAAAGAATCAATTAGCAAAGCAGGGTGGAAAATCTTCCTCTGCCTTAGATGGTGGCGAACTGTTGAGAGAGAAAGAGCTACAGTGGCAAAAGTAGCCCCTTCCATCTATGTGGTTTTGGCAGCTTCATGAATTCCCAACCTATCTGGTTATTTATCATGCCAGCTGAATGACCTTTGTTGCAATCTCCAAGAAACTGGGCTTGTATGCTTTGTTTTTTTTTTAAAGAGTTTTCTCCGCTCAGTTTAGAACATAATTCTAACCAGATTTATAATAACATTATCTTCTCATCAACAAGGAATTGGAAAAAAAACTGACTCTTTTCAGAGCCTATGTTAGGTCTTCTGTCTGTTATCTATTTATACAATGCATAGGTTGTCCAACTTGTAATGTTTTTGGGCAGCTTACAGTTAAAAAGGAAAAAAAAGGCAAAAAACCCTGAATAGTCCTTCAAAATCCATCCAACAGGATTTCATCCTGCACTCTGTCCCAAAGTTTAAAAGCTTTAATGGGCTCCTGAACATCATCAGGCTGGGAGCTAACCAGATCTTTGGATTCGGAGCAACAACTGAACCGAAGACAGAATATACTTATATGGGATTCTGTCAAAAAGAGGGAAGAGAGAAGCAAGCGGTTCTGAGTTTCAGAAGAGTTTGCCTTCATAAAAATAGTAGTATTAAATAGTCCTGTGCAGATCACCACTGTTTCAACGCAGCAAAGAACCTTGTAGACTGGAACCTTTTAGACTGTGTGACTCCAAAAAGCTTGGCCAGAATCGGGGAGGCCGATGTGCTTCATTTGGTAACTTTGATGGCAGAAATGGCTTCACCGCATGCATAGAAATATGGCTTTTGCTAAGCGAGGTGTTAAACTCCCCAATTAAGACACAGGGCTCTGTGGTACCCCCATAAACGAAGGATTGTTTGCTTGAACTTTCAAAGCAAAGTACTTCATAATGCGCTCATGCTGATAGCTAAAGGAGTACTTTGCTTGAAAGCCATTGCAAAAGTGTCCCTCAGAACATTTTATGGAACTGCCAAAGTGTCCTGCTTCTCATCAGGGGTGCAAAGTATCAAATGATGATATTCTTGCTGGGTTCTATGACGAGAGTTGCCACCTCTGTTGCTGGAAGCATTTTTGATTCATTGTGCTTCTGCTGTTTTCATGGAATTTTTAAAAACATGCAATGTCAATGGAAACTTACCCCCCAACTCTTAGTTATTGTGGCTCGTTGTGTACATCAGCATTTTTAGCTGGCAGGTGTGTCCACCCGGTGAAATGGGGCACTACCCCAAAAGTTTTTAAATCCACCATGATCTGTTGGGCCTTTACCAATAGCCTGATCCCTGTTTTCTTTGGATTTTTTCTGGCAGCCTCGGGACCCATTGGTGCATTAAACGGGAGCTGTGAAGCCAAACTCTCTGTGATCTCTAAAGTCTCTGGCCTGGAACGGAGCCAGGAGCGTAACTATGAGGCTGACCGGGACTCCCTGCTAGTGCCTTTCCTGCCTAAGGAACCCCCTTCTCAGGCAGCTACTGCCCCTATTCTGGCTCAGGCCTTGCCGCCAACTCCTCCTGCCCCACCTCCTGTCAAGACTCGGGCTCAGACACCTAACACTGTTCGTGGGACGCCCCAGCCCAAAGGCCAGCTGCCTCCCATGCCTCAGGGTGGAGCAGTTACCCACAGCCTTGCCCAGAGCCAACTGCACATGAAGGTGCCACCNGCAATGTCGTACACTCACTGCCAAGAAACATTACTACGCCGCACACAGTCAATTATACCATTCGAAAAGTATGCAGTAACCTTTAATGCAATACCCTGCCACCAGAAATATACCATCACTTCTATGATTTATCTTTTCTAGAGCTCTTGCCCTTCTCTGGCATCCTTCAAACAGTTGGTCTCTTCCTTGAACCAAAGAGGCCTTTCACAAAAATGACTACCTCTCCCAGAGCAGTGTTGATCATTATGGTTTCGGGCAGCATTTGTTGCAGTGTTGCCTTATGAGTCTTTTAAATAGTTATTGGCAAGCTAGCTCCTTGATATACATTGTCTAATTGTGGAATCTGGGACATAACTGACCAGATTAAAATTTTTTTGCATGTATCTGTTCTTTTTTAAAAGGACCTTAGAGCAGTGTACATAGCTTCTTTCCCTTCTTTTCGCTTCTATTTTACAGCAATCCAGAGTTTAGTCTGTGGACCTAAAAGTTACATATGGATTTAAACCAGGTGTCCTAGATCTTGCCTTTTAACAACTACTACTTACTGGCTTTCAATGTGAAAGTGTTTTTATAATATTTAGGATATTATTATACAAATAACTGGGATTCCAATCCCCCCCCCCCCAAGATGTTAGGATAATTCATTTGTGCAGTATCTGCAATGCAGTGCAAATAAATGTAAATGTTATTTCTGGATCCCAAATAAATAATTGCTAGTACTGATAGGCTAGATATTTTAATTTTGTCCCAGAGTTTTGTATCATGTTTTGTAAAGTGCTTTTCCAGTTTTTATATTTAAACTCACATTTCTATATCCCATAGCAGCAGCTGCAATATCACAGCTTTTATTCAGAGGGTAGATTGTCTGCAGCTATTATAATGCCCACCTTGTCATTCCTGCAGAAGGATGCAAACTTGAAGACTCCAGAGCGATTGGCGCATCGGCTGAAACATTTGGGAAAGAGGAAACGAGGTGAGGGAAGCAATTCTGAGCCTGAAGATGAAGACGAAGGCTCAGAAAAGGATCGCAGCCAGGGCTGTGGAGGGGAGAGAGCACTGAGGAAACGAAGCAAGAGACATCACAAAGAGGTGAGGTCTTGTGCTCAGGGAGTGGGGCGAAGGGGAAGAAACTGAAGCAGGCAGGGCTGTGTGTGATAAAGTTTGAAAGCAGCTCAATTGAACTGGGGAAACCTGCGGGCTGGATTAAGCTTACAGAGACTTCTAGAAATCTGCTGCTGGGAAGCACCTCAGTTTCTCAATACTGTCACGTGGAAAATTGCAGAATGGCCAACGGGCCAGTATCACTCACTGCATTGAAAGGGTGTTTTTTGAAGGTTCCAATTTGCCATCTTTACTGGGCTAGATGAGTGGGAAAGAAAAGCTTTGGGAAACACTACTTCAGGGTATTTGGAAGATCCTGAGGAGCAAATAGACTGTGGCAACAGAAGGCCTGTAGCCTTCTGAGCCAGTAGGTACAGCAGCCGTCATGGGAATGAAGCCTTGCCTATTCATAACATTGCCATTGTGGTTATTATAGCCTGTCACAAATCAGGCTATAATAACCACTATAATTTTCTGAGCAGCTTAGAAGTTTCAATTTCCAAAGTATTAAATATGTTAAAACACACAAGTTTGTAATATTATTTTCTATTCATAACAATGTTAAGTCAATGTTAATTCTTTAGCTGGTATTGGCCTACAGACGCCTCACGTTCTTCCTAGGATATCATATCAGAGTAGTATATGTACGGATCCAAGCAGCGTGTCCTTCTGCAATTGTCAGATGGTAACTTGTCAATCCACATTTTTTTTTTTGTATGGCACATAATGTGCTGATATGGGACCATAATCTTTCCATTTTGATTTTCCAGATCTTGATAGTGATTTCCTTCAATTCTTTGTATTTTGCTATCACCCCTGGTGTTGCAACATCAATTACCCACACCTTCTCAAGTTAAATTCAGTGTATTATGACCCCAGGCTTTATTAATCTATATTTGAAAATCCCTCAATATTATTTCTGAGTATACGAAGTGCCGATGTGGATCCAGATGCATATTTGAAAATAAAAATACCTTTGGTAGCTGATACTGTGTTTTTCAGCTTTCCATTTGTTTTTAAAAATAATAGAATTAAAAAGAGTAGCTGCAGGTGAAGCAAGGGGCCTTGCCAGTACTTAGGGGGAGTAATGCATGCATGCATGCCTGTATCTAAGCAAAGGAACCTCAGGTTGGCCGTGCTTGCATAGAGCCAGTGCAGGTTTGTACCCAAAATGGTGTTCTATTGGGGGTAAACAGTGACTTGCACATTTATTATAATTTGCCACACAAGGGATGTATGCATTAATATTCAATAGGGGAAAAGCACAAAAATGCAACATTGACAGGAGGAAACTCATTCTGCTCTATATAGAATCAGAGCAGGCGCATGAACAACAAAACCTACTGTCAAGGTTCCAAGTAACAGCCCATAGGAAATCAAAGCTCCAAGGCCAGATGGTTCTTCAAAGTATAGATTTATTAGGCATGTCATATTGGCACAGCTGGTGAAAACCCAAATCCACCCCCGGGTTTTCCCCACCCAGTTCAAAATCCAAAGCCCCCCCCCCCCCCCCCAATCACACATAACAATTACATGCCCCACTTAATTAGATATCTCTTTCTCCATCCCGGATGCCTCCCATCCACCTCCCTCCAGGTGCTGATTAGAATGTCCTTGGTTCCCAGAAGAAAGAGTGTTATTTTGGTTACGTATCCCCCTCAGATATCTCTACTCCCACCTCCCTTTCCCACAACCTCCAGCCAGCCTTGCTGTGGCAACCTTGAAGACAAAGACGCTCAAAGATGTCTCCAGGGTTGATAAGTAGACTCAGTGAGGGGAATATTATACAGTTGTAATATTTACATAACTGTGTCATTAATCCCCTCTGTCTTAATATACATGCATAAAATTTGCTAAGCTTTTATTGGAAGTAAGACAAAAACGCAATTCAGGACAACTCAGCCTGTAGTCTTCTTGAATTTTCTGTTCCTTTGCATACTTTTTGTTTATTAATATGTCCAAAACAGCTAGTTGAATCATGGTATGATGTGTTGAAATCTCAGATTTTTTTTCATTATGTAGTTGAAATAAAACCAACAGCAATAGAGTAAGAACAAAGCTCACCTATATTTAAGAGTGCTTAGATATTTTCTTAGAAAAAATAAAGGACAAATCAGAGAGAGGTATGTAAGAATTAAAAATGCTTTTATAACTTTGCTTTACAGAGGAAAACTGAAGAGCAAAACCAAGAAAATACATAATTAAATAACTCTTAAAGGATAGCTTCCTGAAACCTATATAATAAAAGACATACGGTCCACTGTACCTATACTAGGATGGTTGCATTAGCTGTT